TAAAAAAGCCATACTTAGCTCTTGGGTCACAAAGAGAATTCAAGATTTAATTTATATTTGTCATATTAGGAGACAGATTGAGGATATTTTCATATTTTCAGAACTATTTGCATTTCCTCTTCTGAGAACTGTCTGTTCGTGACATTTGCCTCTATTTTTCCACTGGGTTTCTTAGTCTTTTTCCGTTTGATTGCTATCTGGTGGGACATTTATCTCTACATGTTGTTTTCATTTGGATTTTTGAATTAGCATGTCTAATTGGCACTTCTGAAAAACCCCAATTTTTTTTTTAAGATTTATTTATTTGTGCACACAGAACTGGGGTGCAGGCCAGAGGCTCAGGGGAGGTGAGAGGCTTCACCAGAGACAGAGTGGGGAGCAGAACAGGCAGATCGACGAAGTACACTGCTGAGGGGAGCAGCGGCGGGTCAGGAGAGGTCTGCCACGCCATGAGGTCACCTCCGGACAGGCGGGAATTGAACTCATGCGGAAGTGGCTTTAGCTTCTCAGTGCTGTGCTTTAACCCGCTGCGCCACCAGGGAGGGCCGAAAAACCCAATTTTTATTGGGTAAGTTACATTTATGATTTAGGAAAAATTAGCACTGCAGTTTCTCTTATATAAAAGCAGGGCATGTACTTCCATTTCATCAAGATGTAGAGTGGATTTCAACCAGAAGGTACATTTTAAAAAGATGGCTACTCGGGAAAGGGAAAGCAGGAAAGGAGACCAAATTAAGTGATGCCTGTAGGGTTCAAAGCAAGAGAAGATGGCATTTAGAGCAGGGTGGGGAAGGGCAGATTGAGATCTGTCTTGGAGGTAGAGAGATAGGACTTCCTTAAGGGTTACATGTGGCCATAAGCAAAAGGGAAGAATAGCAATAACACCAAGGCTTTTGACTTGCCCTACTGCGTGACTGGTGATTCCTTGAAATGGCAGAGGCTGACGAGGACCTAAAAGGACACCTGCCTGGAAGGCAAGTCTCCAAACTATGACCAGGCAAGTTGCCCACAGAAGTTCTCTCAGTGAAGATACAACCAGCTAGAATCAGCTGTGATGCTAGCCAGGGTCACTGTTAGCTCAGATTGGGCTTTTATGTGAATTAGACAAGGGGGCCCCTTCTGGGAAGACAGAGGCCTGAAAGTGCACGGATTGATGAGGAGTATGGGACATGGATTTAGTCTCTGCTTATTTTCTTGTGGGGTGCTCTTCTACCATGCCCAGCCACAACTGACAGCCTTGATGCTAACCTCTAGTGGGGGGCTTCTGACTCATCCCTTTCTCTGAAATATCATCCTGCTGCTTAATTCACCCAACAGACCCTTTTCAGCTAGACTTTGCCTCTACCCATTTCTTGAGATCTGCCATTCACCCTATGTATAAAAGTCACCTCACTGATTGTGCATTCCACCAATTATCTTAGTTCTTCTAAAACTTGAATTCAGAGCATAGAGCACAACTTTAAACTTGTAAATCATCTTGGTTTCTCTAAATCTCAGCATCACAATTGTTCTACATATAAGCAATTCCTATTGCTCAATTTGAAACAGGCCTGGTTCATTTGAAAATAATTAGCTACTTAGAACAGAGTGGTAAGTTGCAGTGTAACGGCTTTTGGTGGAGTAAACCATTTTGCTTCAGAATCATCATTTTGGTGGCCTGACTTGGACCCGAGTCTCCCCTTTTTCATTCCCTCTAGTCTAGGGAACATATCTCCAGAGGGTCTCGGGCTTACTCTTCCAAGGCAGAGTTCACAGAGGAGACCTCTGTGTTCAGTCTACCATTCCCTATTCTTTTCTGCACCTTTTAATGAAATCTAAAATAATAGCTAATGACCATGACTGACTGACCACTTGCCCCAAGGGTCTTCCTTCTGTACCCTTCCATTTTAATATTATCATGGGGACTTCTCAGAAGGACTGCAGGGGTAAATGATAGCCACTAGTCCTTACCATGAGCAGTGCTACTCTGCTTCATAATTACCTGTTCCAGGTGTACCCCCTCACCTGAACAAAGGTGTAGGCATTTGATACACTCAAATTCAGCAAAGCTACAACCAACTTCCAGATTGTTCTCTTCCTACCTACAAAGAACAATAACTGAAACAAGAAAGCAAAGCCACAGCCTGTAAAATAAAAAGAGAAATATTGTATCCATCCGAGGTACACATTGCTGAACGCCGTCAGCACACCTGTTCACAGGAGACAGCCAGGCTGTTGCAAGACCCTTTGGGTTCTTAGCTCCTCTTCCCCAATTTGTCCAGGGATTCTATTATCAGCAACCCACCCTCTAATCATTCTGCATTTTTCTCCCATCCTTACATAAAAAGTTTCAGAGACTAGAAGCTCGTCTTCATAGAATGTGTGAGGAACTGTCTTAGATCAAGATGGCTAAGAACTGTGTGTTTTGTTCTCTTGTGCTGTTAGATTTATGATCATTAAGCAGTAATCAGCCATGGCTGAAAGCTTGCCTTGTTCTGTGCAGAAGTTGATTAACCCAACACCTCCTGTGTTTCCTGTGTTTCCTTGCCTCTGTCTTTTCAGCCCCCTAGAAATGGAGGGTTGTTTCACCATAAGTGGTGAAGTTTCTGTCCACAGACTATCAAACAGGTGCAGTCCCTATGAGCACAACACTGGCTCCGATTGTCACCCGTCTTCCTGTCAGGCACCTCTCAAGACCAATCAATAGCTTACACTTGTTAAAATAGAAAAGCTCTTCCTTGAGTTTTAGTCATTCCCATCTTTCAAATGCTCAATTTGTAGAAGACACTGGGAGAATTTCATTCTGTGTGTTGGCTGATGGCAGCCCTGGTTTTTCAAAACTTGGAATTAACTGTTATGTAGAGAAAAAAAAAAAAAAAGAGAAAAGAAAGAGAAATCTTTCAAGAGGCTAAATTCATGCTGTTATTATTGCTGTGAGATAGTATAAGTATTAGGATTCATGCCGTTGTTTCTCTTTTTTAATTAAAAAATCGTGTAATTGCATTGTAAGGTTTGTATTTAGAAAAAGGTTTTAGAACAAAAAATAAAGCTCATTCCTATAACCAAGCATCACAATTCAGGCAATCTTAAAAATGAGTAAGCCTGCTTTGTCTATACAACATGCTCTAAGATAGTATATGTCTTGGAGTTTGTCTTTATTTCTTTTTAACTTCTTGAATGATTAAACAACTTGTTCTCATTCTTGATGTCTTCTGCTCATGAAGCTGTGTGTGTGTGTGTGCATGAACTTAGTGACTTTGACAATGAAATAAAATAATGAAAATGCTGAGAGATGGTTGTTTCCCCTTATGTATTTTAACATCTTGGCGGCAGAACTAATAAATATTCAGTAAGTGATTAGCTGGTACATCCCCACGTGCGTCCTTTGCATATCCATGCCAGCTACCCTTTCACCAGCAGCTTCACTTGGTAATTTACCAACGTTCTGGCTGCACCCTGCACCTGCCAGCATTGCAGTAATTAGCTGAGGATGCAAAACGATTTCTAAATTAAGGCTCTGGACTTGTAAAATCAAGAATGCCTGATAATCAACCTTATAGCTGTGGAAGCTAACGAACAGCGGGATAGTAACTAACAGTAACTAGGACAAGCCCTTTCACCGTCCTACCTACAAATGATAGGTCTATACAAGATGCAGGTGAAATACAGATCGGCAACGGGAGACAGGTGAAAGGGTCAGAGTTCAAGATGTCAAAGCCCGTGCTTTTCTCCCACGGTATGTAGCGGCGCAGGTCGACACTTTGGGGCATCCGCGATTGGGGTGACATCACAGCCAGTGACATCTCAGTCTACGTCCAAATGGGGTAAAAACGCGGGCATCGTGCCTTAGCAATACCGGCCGGTCCCGGGAGACCGGGGAGGGCTGCCGCGCAGGTGAAGGGCAGTGAACGTGCACGCGAATCGGGTCGAGAGGCTGCGGTTGCGCGGAGCCCCATCCTGGAATGGGGGCTCCTCTCGGTCACGCGCGGAGCGGAGACCTCCGACCCGGGAGAGGAAAGAGAAGCCGGAGAGAGCGGGCGGGAGTGGGAGGAGG